AGCATATTGGTGATTGCACGGCAATGACTGGGAGAAGGACTTCAGCATTGGACACACGAGAAATGAATGCAGGCGGGATACGAAGAATTTGATGCAAGCGGCGGTTTTGAAAAGCCGTTCAATCGTCGGCGATCAGACTGCGCAACACTTTGGACTCGATGAGTCGATGAGAGCTCTGAAAAATCGAGTTTGCGGTCGCGAGATAGTGAAGCGTGCTTCCAAATCGCAGCTCGCCTGAAGGTGTAATTTATCCCACCGGAATTCCATGCCACGCAATTTGCCAACATCAGTAACGGTCAGATCAAGCAAGAAGCAATGCGTTTTCAGTCTGCATACACAATGTCAGCCAACAAATGACACCGATTTTACGCACGCCTAAAGACGAGACAAACCTCCAGCTCTTTTGGCTTCATCCCAAAACACCTGAACCGTTTGAACAACATAAAGTAAGACCCTAAACGCCGTACCTGCTGACTAGGACCACGGCTGTCTTGCGATTTGGGAGTTTCCCCCCCCTAAAAAAAAGAATCCCCCAAAACCCAAAGATTCCCTCCTAAACCTCCTTGTAAAGGGGGGGTAGGTTTTTACGGGCGCCCTATTTTTCGAAAGTCCCATTCCTTTTTGCAAGCCCAGGTCACCCAGGATAGCCCTGTGATCAGGTCACTCCCAGGGCCAGTGAGATCGGAAGATCCTGGCGCCCCAAACAGCCGAACAGCGGAGAGGGCGAGGTTTTTGAGGGGCCTGGGCTTTGGGCTTTTCGGGTTGTAAGGGTTTTAGGGGGTTTGGGCTTCAAAAGTTTAAGGCTTTGGGAAGTTTGGGGGTGTGTCATAACCCTCCGTAAGGCGGACTGGCACTGCGCCCCGACAGAATGTTAGCCGAGGTGAAACGTCCGCCTGACACCAGACCGCCCCTAGCCGCCACACCCAAAAGTTAACACACTCCAGTAACCTGCCTGCGACGGCTCATGGACCCCAAGCTACCTAGACGGGGGCTGTATGCCGCATCCCGCGACACCCGAAGCGCAGGGTCGTTTTCCCGTCGTCATGCAGCGTCGCTTGGTTGGGGGGGAGCCCATGATTAATGGGTGCCCCAAAACTATTCCGGACCTCAAAGCTAGCCTGACACCCTTCCTTGAAGGAATGGCTCTGCTGCTGCAGAAACTAGCTGCAACTAGCTACAAAACAGTTCAGATGGCAAGGATTTCGTGCACCACACATTGTTGTGATGGATTTTTAAAGGAAAATGCTGTTTTAAAAAAAGGTGGCTCCAAGCACCATGGCAACTGAGAAGCAACGATCAAGTTTTGACCGCGTCTCTAAAACGTAAACCTGCCCGCAGGGAAAAAATGCTGCCCGTGCGGGGTTTGCCAGCATCCCATTATCCCGGGTGTACTGCAAAATACATGTTCCCAAACAGCTTCCTGCTAATGGGTGTCCCCAAACAACTGTGTGTTGATGGGGGACTCTATCCGCATGCGACAGCAAACTGGAGGTACATGAGCCTACGCCCAAGCCACCCCCAAATTGTAGTACTTTTTGGCTCTTAAAGTCTTATTCTTAACCTGGCTTCGCTGTCGCGTACCTGGTTTCAAAGGCTCTTGGCGCAAGTCACCCAAAAGCCAACACAAGTTCACACTGGTGGCAGAACCTCAAAGAGTCACTGAGATCATCGCATCAGCCTCCTCCTTGACGTTTTCAACCAGACTAGCCAGACCTTCCTCCTTCTTGGATAATGATGGCTCCGGAACAAAGAGGTGGCTGGTCTGTCCCTTCGCCGCCAGCATCAGGGGCGTGTGACCCCGGTGGTTCCGATGATTCACATCGGCCCGGGCCGATAGCAAAAAGGAGATCATGGGCTCGTTCGCATAGTAGGCAGCGAGGCCCAGGGGTGTTGAGCTGTTCTCTGCAAAATAGCGGATCAGTCCAGAGTCTTTTCCACAACGCTGGAGTCCTCGACAAACCAACTCCGCGAAACGCCACACTCCTGAAGCACGCTGCGCTTGATTCACATCCGCACCAGCACGAACAAGAAGGCCGGCAACTTCCACCGCGTATCGTGACAGACCTATTGTGTAAAAGACCATAGCCGTCAACCTTCAGTTTGCTTAAGGAACCTGGAAAATAAAAAATAATCCCTAAAAAGGCCTTTTAAAGGGCGAACCCAAGAAAAATAATAAAATAATCCCTATAAAAGTCGTGGAAACCCAAGGAAAAATAAAAAAATATCCCAAAACGGCCCTTTGAAGGGGAAGCCTAAAGGGAAAATAAACAGTATTCTTAAGCAAACCCAAGCAACGGCGTAGTCGACTCTCCTCCTTGGCTGAGGTTCGGATCCGCTCTCAACTCGAGGAGCTTGGCTATCACTGGCACAGGCTGCAGCTTACAACAGCACACCGCCAGCGGAGTGTTGTGAATCAGTCCACTTCGGCGGTTCACGTCAGCCCGATGGCTCACAAGGAGTTCGACAGTTTCGGGATCTTTGCAATGGGACATGACAGGCATGCCCATGTCGCAGGTGACGTTGGGGTCAGCCCGCCATCGCAGGAGTTCCATGATCACATCAGAGGATCCGATGCCGCGGAGCACGGCAAAGTGGAGGGGAGTCTGACCTGGAAGCTGGTCCACTTCTGCTAAGTTCGGTTGTCTCTGCGACACCTGCGCTTTCGCCTCTAGCAGCAAGCGAACCATGGAAAGATCACCAGCCATGGCTGCACATCCCAAGCCCGTCATACCTGCAGGCTTTAGCGCCTGCTTCATAGTCTGAAAGCCGAACGATGCCAGAAATTCCTCTGGGGTCCGCTCCTCATGTGGAAGGCCTAGAAGCTGGTAGTACCTTGCGGTGTAGAACCGAAAGAGGTCTTGCATCTTGCGGTTGTGGAGGTAGGTAATATGCACGTCCATTGCCTCGCGAAGCATTCCCATCACCTTTTGCCGGTCAGACTCGACAGTAAAGTCTCCCGTCTGAACTGGCCGGTGAATCCAAGCTTGCGGGGCCAAGAAGGTAGCATCAGTGGCACTTTGCACGACGATCACGCCCGCGTTGGCCTTTGTGCAAAGTTGATTGCACCAGAGCTCTGCCCGACACCAGCCTCTTTGAAGCCAGGACTCGAAATCGCAAAGCTGGCCTAACTCATGCCGCAAAGGTGGGACGAGGGCCACGAAAAGGTCACAGCAATCAACGTAGGAGGGGATGGACTCCACTGCCCGGTTCAGTTGATCTCTGCAGGCCGGGTCCTGTGGGATACAGAACCAGTCCATCCATAGGTAGCCGTCACGCAACATATTGCGTTCCCTGGGCGACAAAAGGCGATAGCCTTTCATGAACTCCGTGACTGAGTCAGACTGCACTCTCACACTCCCGTCAATCGCGCCACGCAGGGTGTCCTGCAACACTTTGAATTGAGCTGCAGCGCGATCTGGATGATGTACGCCCAGCCACTGGTGCGAGACAAAAACCGTAAACCATCCCGGTCGGTGCGCATGCAGCAGTGATGCTTTCTGCAACTCCTCATGGACCATGACACTAGCCATGTTCAACACGTCGGAGACTGTCACAACCCACATTTGGAAACTTCGTAGATGAGAAGAAGAAGTCCCAGGGACCATGGCGTCAGGCTTGCTAGTACAAGTACCCATTTTGGGCAACTGCCACTGTTCAACAGTAGAACAACAGGCTTTTCTGCTCTTCAGATTTAAACAGCCTCTAAACATGAAACAGCTACGGTGAAGGGTTTCCGGTCCAGGGTTTAGGGGTTCGAGTTTATGGGTGCAAGTCTAGGGAGCCGCTTCCATCGCAAACAACACATCCGAGGGTGTCCTACAGTGAAGAGGCCCAGGTAGAAGCTGAAGAGCGTGTAGACGACCACCAGGGCAAAAAACAGCCCCAGCTTTGTCACGATGTTCATGCCTGCTGGCAAAAAGGCAACAATCAAAAGGCCCCGCTGCTTAACCCTTCAACCTTATCCCTAAACCCTAAACCCTAAACCCTAAACCGCAGACCACCGAACCCGTGAGACCCTTAAAAACCCTGTAAGCCTTGAAACCCTAAAAGACCCCCTACAGTCCAAACAAAACCTACTGTGCCACATGCTTTGCGAAGATGCCCAGCTCATCTCTCTCGCAGAAGTTTTTTTTTCTTGGGATCTGAATAAGGGGAAAAGTCGCCTCAGGGGTGCCGTTTCCTATCTCTGAGAGCTACCCCTGAAATGCACATCCCGAAACCCTAAACTTGTCTTGGGACTTGAGTACAGCTTTCCCAAAGAGCGCTACCCTTCAAAAGAAGGTTTCCTTTCAACCACCATGCCCTTGTTTGGGCAACTCCCATCGAGTTTGCGCCACGCATCATGTCCACAGGGTGGTTCAACATCCTTCAGCGAAAAGCTTGAAAAAACTTTGAACCCCGTTGCCTTGCCTGAGAGAGCCTCTGGCTAAGCCAAACACATGAAGAGGTACATGAAGTCTGTTGTAGATCTTGTGGCCTGCGACTCGGCTTTTAGAGTCCCAGGTTTTGGACCTAGGGCTTGTATAGACAGGAACTGGGGTGTTGGTTTCGTGCTTCCGGCTCTGCATTCCCCAGAACGCTACGCCCTGGACTTTATAGAGCCCTACAGTCTACCAAGGGCCTCCCCACACAGCCAGCGCCAACGTCGCCATGAGCCCAGAACCGATCGCCTCGGGGGTTGCAGTCAGGCTGAGGGCCTTATAGGGCCCAGGGTTCAGGGTCTGGTGGGCTGCGCGTTACGATTTGGTGGGGTAAAGGGTTTCAGGCTTCTGCTTGCGAGCTTAAGGGGTTTAGAGTTCATGGTTCAAAAGGTTGAGATGGCAGTGAAGGATTCAAGGGCTGGAATTTCAGGTCCAAGTTCTCTTGCTCAGGTCTAAGGGCTCCGCTCGGCGTCGAGGGTCTGCTTTTGGGAGTTTGCGAAAAGAGGGAACCCCAGACCTACGTGAATCCCTAAGAAACCTTCTGCTGCGTGTGGTATTTTGAAGTACCCTCATTTTTGGACATCCGCAATTTTTTTCTGAGTGTACAGGACTCCAGGTGTGGAGAGGCCACCTAAACGTCAGGAGTTAGCTTGGCTACTGTAGGGTTTCTCAGGCTTTCTTACGCTTGGGGTGGCGTCCAGATAGCCGAGACTTCTGTTCGCGGGTTTGGGATTTCGGCTTCTAGGTTTAAGGGGTATTGCGGCGGCTTAGAGTTGAAAACACCGCGCAAGGTTCAGGTCTGTAATGGAGACAGGGCTTTGGCTGTGTGACTCATTAAGGCGGATGCTGCAACATTGCCTTAGCGCACCTTCCGCCCTGATCCTCCCTCATCAATCCCCCCACCCAACGCTTACATGTTTGGGGATTCGAACCACCCCCCTCCCCCCCCACCCCCGCCACCCAAGACATTAAAAAATTAGAAATATGACCAAACGGATCGTCCAAAAAATCCAGGAAATGAAAACATGACCCACCTTCCCCGTCGGAGAAAAAAAGTTGCCTCCAACAGTCAGCAGCGACCTTTTTTTGGGCCGGGGAAGAGCCTCTCGCCAAGAGCAGAGGCTCTAAACCATAAAGCCTAAAACCTAAAAAACCTAAAACCCAAAACCTAAAATCTAAACCCTAAAACCTAAACCCTGGTCCCCGCCTGTCGGTATCCTGGGAACTGCACGGACGGCGCCGCCATGGCAATGGCCTGGCAGGGCGCGGCTGGATGTGGCTCTTCTCCCCTCGGGGCGTGAGGGGTTCAATGCCTAGGGGTGGTAGGGTTTTAAGCTTAAGTTGAAGCTTTAGGGCTTTTTCTTCTCTTTAGGGGCTTGGGGTTCAATGCTTAGGGATGCAGGGTTTAGGGTTTACTCTTTTGTCTCTCTAGTGTGAACGGCTGTGAGTTATTTTTGGTTTCTTGTTGGTCTCTTTTGTGTTGGAAGTAGAAGTAGTAGTAGTAGTAGTAGTAGTAGTTGTTGTTGTTGTTGTAGTCGGGCATTGACCCACTGCCATCATGCCAGAGCCATATTGCGTGCCCAGCGAAACAACCCGCACCTCCGCAAACAGGGGCACCACACTTCCCCCTGCCGCGGAGCTATCACCTTATCTGTGGATTTGCAGAAAGCTTTCGACCTCATGCCCAGAGGACTTCTGGACTAGGCTATGCAATTAGCCGGTATAAGTGCTGAGCTTCGCTGGGTGATACTCCAAATTCACCGCCATGCCCAGATGCAATTCAACATTGGTCCCCACCAGACCACGGTAGCGACAGACAATGGCATCAGGCAAGGATGTGGATTATCACCCACGCTATGGAGCCTTTTTACAGGACTTGTCCTTTCTGAACTGTTGGGTCAGCTGGGAAAGGACGACGTGACTGCATTTGCAGACGACTGGCTGTTCCAATGGTTCATTGACCAGGCTTCAGATCTTGACTCGGCTGTTGAGAAGATCTCTTTTGTTCTCGCCACTCTTGCTAAATTTGGCATGAAGATCAGTGTGGACAAGACTGTCATCTTGGTTAGTGCTAAGGGTACTAAAGCAGCCAGTGCCTTGAAACGTCACGTCCGACACGTCCCAGGCAAAGGTCGTTGTCTGTATGTCTCTGTCGGCGCTGAGCATGTCCTCCTGCCAATAGTCAAACAGCACACTTATTTAGGCATGCAGCTTAGCTACTCTGCTCCTGAGCAACTCAGCCTCAAGCACAGATTCAAGCAGTCCTGGACCACGTTCAATCGATTACTGCCTGCCCTGAAAAGCAGCAGCCTTACACAACAGCAAAAGCTTCGCGTATGGCACAGCTGCGCTTACGCGGCAC